GTGCCTGAAACCAAGGATAGTACCAATCCTTATACAAGCATATCCAAGACAAAATTTAATTTATGTTAGTTGCAAAAAGATTAGTAATAATAGCAACAATAGAAAAATTATAACCATGCACTGTAATAAAAGTTATGTGAATATAACATATCTGTCTCTCTGTCAAAATCCAGAATTTTCCATTTAATAATTTCATTTATGGTTGATCTGTGGATAACTGGAACCACAGAAAACAAAACCATGTATAAGGCAGGTTACTAGCATGAATTATGTGAAAGAAAATTAAAGGATGAAATAGGAGCATGAAATAGGTGCCATTTACATTAAGGAGTTCAGGTATGTCCGTTAAGCTTAAACCTGAAAAAAATAAGTTAGAAATAAATAAGCAACAGGCAGAAGAGGGTAGAACTTCCTCTAGAGAGGACAGTTTAGAACCCAACCCCTGAAGAGAGAAACTTGCTTTCTAATGAGCTAAAAATAGCTGGGGGGGGGGGTGAGAAAACAGTGACCTAGAGACAAGCAAAGGTCAGAAATTCCAAGACCTTAGGGGTGAGTTGTAAGTTTACCCTAACAGTCATAGAAAACCACAGGGGCATGACATGCTCAGATTTGGACTTTTAAGTGATCATAGTGACAGTATGGAGAAAAAAATAAATCACAAAGGTTCTACAGTTGTTTCAACATTGAAATTACCATTTTAAAAATCTGGGAAGAAGTTTCCTGAATTTTGACTTACATATCAAGAAAATTTTCTAAGAAAGAATTGTAAGCATTCGAAGTAGGTTATTGATAGAAGGCATGAATTTTGAGGCATTAGAAATGGTGGTAGGCAAAATTGTAAGAGTCTGCTCTTCCTTGGTTTGCTCATATAACTGTTACATTACATGTCAAAGAGATTGGACAAATGTAAGTAAGGTTACTAATCAGCTTGCTTTAAGAAGAAGAAATGGTCTTCATGACCCTGAAGTAGCTATGGGAGGTTAGCCTTTGCTAAGAGGGAGGGTCCAGGGACAAAGAACTGAAAAGGTTTTCTAGTGGCTAAGAGAGGTCCCTGGTCAGTAGCCAGCAAGAAAATGAGAATCTCAGTCCTACAACTTCACACAACTCAGTCCTGCCAGCACTTCAAATTAGCTCAGAAGCACAGGCTTCCACAGAGGTTCCAAATAAGAGCTCAGTTCAGCAGTCATGTATGCTTCCAGCCTGGTGAGTTTCTGGGTAGAGAACCCAGCTGAGCCCAGATGGACTTGTGATCTGCAGAACTGTGAGATAGTAAGTGCATATCTATTAGCACACTATTTGTTTGTGGTGATGTATTATACACCAATGAGAAGCTGGCACATAAATCATTTTTTTTAAAAATCTAGGTTACAGTGACCCTTTTTCATGAGTGTCCATAGTTTTCTGTTGTGGGGGCCTTAAAGTCTGCAGCTGATTCACGATGGTAGCCTTTTGTGGTCATTTTGACTTTGCAGTAGACCTGGAAGTGGCACAGTGCCCGACCCAGTGAGTAGATGGATAAGGGCACACTGTAACATTTTAACAAGCTGGCCTTGCAATTGGATGGCTGTTGGCAGCAACGTTCATCCTGTTTTTGCATGTCTGACAGACACAAAAGAGCATGACCAGAACTGCTTCAGAAAGTGACAGTAATGAGGGAATAAGTATAGACTTTTACAAAAGTGAAAGAGGTATTCTGACGTTCATTATTAGCAATGTGTGTTTTACTGTAATAAATTTTGTAATTTAAATCTTCACTGTATTTCTCAATCACCCTTGTACTGTGGTAGCTGATTTTTAAAAATATAATCTCTTACTTAAATTACTTCGAATCACCAAATATCAGTGTTTGAAAGTACTTTGTGGCTTATAGTAAAACAATCAGCAAATGACAGGCCACTGCATGTTTTTGTAAACAGTTTTACTGAAATACTCTCATGCCTATTTGTTAGCAGAGTTCTTTAGCTGCAAAACAGACCATATGGCCTACAAAGCCAGACACATTCTCTGTCTTGCCCTTTACAGACCAAGTTTGTCAACTCTATAGACAGAATAATGATTAACCACATGGGCATTATATTTAGACTACTCAATTTCAAATATCTGTTCTGGAGGTAACCAGTTATATGGTTTTGAACAAACTACTTAGCTATTTTCGTACCTATATAATTGGAGAAAGAATGAAGTCTGTCTTTCAACAGAGTAATCCATGAAAAATGTCATTATAAACATTCATAATGCTAACACTTATTAATGGAATTACTTTTAAAAATCAGCTAGATTAACTGTTCATCCAAGTTATGTGCTTATCTCCAAGTCATCTACTGTAGATTCCAACACATCTAATGGTACAGGAAGTCCCTTTCACATTTAACTGTTCTAGTAGAAATTTCTTCCTTCCTTAGGTTGGCATTTATCCCCTTGTATCTCTATGCTATAAATCCACCAGCACACAATCTTCTTGAGATTCTGTAAAACATCTCTCTTAACCTTTAGGTCCTTCAAATATTTGAAAAAGGTTTCTTGGAATTTTATATTATTATGCTTGCACATCTTCAGTTGTTTTTTGTTGGTTTTTTTTTTTCCATTTCTCTTTTCCCACTTTGGTAATTCCCCTAATAGTGATTAAAAAAAAAAAAAACACCAAGAAATTAGCTAAAGACTTCAGGCCTACAGATAGGTAGAGGCCCCAGATCCCTAAACTACCTATATTATGTTAATGATGTGTGTTTTGTACTACTTGTTTTTTTCCAGTATCTCCTGCTCTGAAACAGTTGATTTTTTTTAAAAGATGCCAGTACAATGCTTACTGCAGCAGCACATATACTACAAAAAAGATCCTAGGACAGCATCCTGCACTTACCTTCTCGGGTTTAATTTTTCATCTTCTATCTTTCCAGATATAAATGTTGTAGTGTAGAACATTCACTGCCCTATTGAGGTCTATATCATCCTCATACATTTCTGATGTTTCATTAATAAACATCCTATCAATTTGCACTTAACACTGTGAGTAACCCTGAACTGGCTTAAAGCGACTGGGCAGTGTTTAATAATTGCATTGCTTCCCGTGCACTTCCACTGACCTTCAGCACCATTTTATCAACAAATCTCCATGAGATGTTACTCCTCTAGTGAAAGGTTGGAGAAAAATACAACAGCCTTGATTTTGTTACCACCATACCCTACTGGATAAGGCCAACCACACCATGGAGGTAGTGCACCTTGCTCAGTGTTCACTAATTTTAAGACTATGGAGACATATCAAAGAGCTAAAATTAGAAATTCCATTTGACCTAGCTAGCACTCTACTAGGTATCTTCCCCAAAGCGCATCAGACCTCACACTACAGTGATACATACATACATACCCATGTTAATAGCAGTACAATCCATAATAGCAAAACCTTGGAAGTAGCCTGTATTTTCATTAACAGTTGACTGGATAATGAAAATATTTTATCTATACAGAATGGAATATCACTCAGCTAAAAAGCAAGACACATTTAAGACTTTTGTAGGGAAGTGGGTGTACCTGCAAAATATAATGTTGAGTGAAATAAACTAGACACACGTTTAAATACCATATGATATCTCTCATTTGAGTAAGGCCAAATTCAAACAAGGAGATAAATAAAGGATGGATAAAAGGAGACAGGATCATGGGTTTCCTGTAAATAGGAAGGGATCCAAGAGATGATGGGCAAGGGATGAAGGGGAGGAAAAGGAGAAATCAGTGAAGATATGCCATGAACAGGAACCTGACCACCTCAATGAATGAAAACACTGTGTGCCATAAAAATGAGCTGGGATTAGTAAGATCAACAAGAATGAAAATGGGGAGAGGGAATTAGAGGAGGAGGGAAGCAAAGGAAAGGAAGAAAGAAGGGGGTATTTTTTAAAGAAACAAGCTGTATTATGTGCACTTACCCACCTCCCCAAATGATTGTAAACTGTATGCACTGCAAACATGTACATAAATAAACAAATACATAAATAAATAATTATTTTTAAATGGTCAATCTAATCAAAAAGGCACCTTTGCAGAAACATCCAGAGTAATGTTTTGGCCAAATATCCAGTCACCATGACTTCATCAAGTTGATATGTAACATTTATCATCACAGTGTTTCTTTCTAAAATCTTCTTTTTTGCTAAGAAAACAATAGTCTATATGAAGCCAATATTTATGTATTAAAAGTCAGCCTTTTTGTAACACTATACAATTTTGTGTCCGCCTAGTGGACAGTCATGGTAAAATAGAACCAATTCTTTTTCATTACTATATATAAATATAGCATCTTTTTTGTTTGTTTTTGTTTTGTTTCAGTATCAGGGATCAAACTCCTGACTGCCTGCTTGCAAGGCAGGCGCTTATGGCACTGAGCTAAATCCCTAGCCCCAAATATAGCATCTTAACGCATAATTTGATTTAAAATTTCCTGAGCCCACATCACCAACCAATTTTATCTGTACCTAAGAAAAGATTGGAGGTGGAAAGAAAGGAGACTAACTGAGATTTTTAAAGTTAGGACCCTTGCAAGTTTCAGAATCTATGCCTGACTGAAAATAGGGGTGAATCTGTATTTCTTAGTTCAGTCATCGACTTTAGAAATTACACTTTTTATATTTTAAATTTTTAATTGGCATTTTAAAGTCCAATGATACATCTTCCAATGATTCCACAAGATTGTCAAAACAAGTATCCATACAGAATGATGTAAGCATTAAACATCAGTTTATTGCATTATTTGTAATAAAAATCCATTAGAATGCAAAAAAGCCCAGCATATTGTTTAGACAAGTGATAGTAAACTAATATTTTGGTTCTATGTGTTTATGAATCTAGGTTTTAAGATGTGAAATTTTGTTCTTTTCTAGCAATTTAAATCACAAATTATTCAGAGACTGAGAGATTTTAAGTTGTTGTTAGAATCCTGCTAATAATTCCTTTTTTGTGTGCAAAATTCACTATTCTCTTTTATTATACTTTCCTCTCTTTAGGTTTGGATGTGTGGAGGAGAAATGTTTGATGTTCCATGCTCTAGAGTTGGTCACATTTATAGGAAGTACGTCCCTTATAAAGTTCCTTCTGGGACCAGCCTGGCAAGAGTAAGTAACTTGGCCTCATATTGACTGGGTTTCAGGTGGCTTTCTGTGGGCAAAATTAACCAGCCTGACACAGGTATCATCAAAGACACAGTCTGACACAAACTTCAGTGTAGAGAGTTCTTGTATTTCTCAGTTTTATTTATTGCTCAGGGAATTTTGGACTGTTTACACCAACATTTGGCACTCGTTTTTTCAAAGCAGTGCCACATATATTTAGTCCTTACATTATCTTCTGAGGTTGGTATCATCTTTATTTTACAGATGAGGAAATGGATGCTTAGTGAGCAGGTTCACTCCTTTTCACCCAAACACCAAAGAATAGCGTAGGAGTTGCCCAGGTCAACAGAATGGACCACCAGGGTTTTTTTGCCCCAAAGCAGAATGTAACAGGATATATAACTAGGCAGATGGAGACAGAAAAGACTAGGAGATAGCAGAGGTGGGGGTCCAAATTCTAGCTTCTTCTCTTTTGTAGCTAGAACCCGCTCTCTCTAAAATTACTCCATGCTCAAAAGTCCAAAACTGACCAAGTCTAGATTGTTTTAATCAGATATTGTTTTGAATAAAATTTGCTTATAGATCAAATGCAAGGATGATTTTTTCTTCTGACCTTTAGGACATTTTCATGCAAATTTCAGTGGCAGTCACAGTACCTTTACCAAACAATCCTGACAATTTCTCTGTTTCCCATATTACTCTATTAATGGCAAAGTTGTTTCTCTTCACCATAATATACACCTGCCATTGCACAAACTAAGGGATGTGTTATCATGTCCTTTTGCATGGAAATATAATCCTGAATTATTTAGTCCTGTTCATCTATTAGTAAGGCTGCAGTATACATTATTTGGGTCTTCTATATAAAGCTCAGTATGCTCAAAAAGTATAATAATAACCTGGTTTTGAGGATTCATTAAAATACAAATTCCATGACAGCAAAACTTTTTGTCTGTGATACTGGCTGCTATATTTCCAACACCTAGAACACTGCTTGTGAGCATGTGAATATTTATGGAAGGAATTAATAAGAAAAAAATCAAGTTCAAATTGTTAATAAAATATAAAATATTTTAATGAGATGTAATACAATTTTAATTATATTGTTTCCTTTATGGAAGGAGGATTGTTCTGTCTTATTCCCTTCCTGATATTGTCAACAGTGTCCATTTTTTCTTTAGCAACATTCATAATCTTCTTTTGCAGCAAGAAAAATTTATAGAACTGCAGCAGCAAGCAGAAACACCAAAGTGAAATCCAGAATTTAGAGGCAGATTTACTTATGTCAAAGGGTACTGATGGGGATCATTCTCAGAACATCAGGCCCTGATCCCTGGTGGTCTAGGGCTTATATAAGATAAGCAAGCAGGAAGTACAGAAGCAGAATTACTTGTCAATTGGGGATTGGTTTATACAATGAGCATCACAGTGACCAGTATGTGTCACGGTGACCAGCTGTTTCTAAGAGACAAAAGCAGCCGGAACTGGAACAGGAACTATCACTTGTGCAACTAGGAAACTAAAGCATACTGGCTGGAGGGACCATTTTCTGTTATGGAATGATACTACATTACTCACTACTTGAAGGAAAATAGTCACATTATCCTCTATTCCCTCAAAATAATTCAAATGTTCTGCTAAACAACTATTAAAAATATGGTATTTGAAGAAAAGAAACCAATCACAAAACTGCAAGTGATTAAAGAATTGCATTTGGGATAAGAAATATGATTTAATTTCTTCATCAAACATAATATATACATATATATCAGAAAATGAAAAGAAATCATGAAGTTAAAGACTTAAGAATTTTGAGTACAAACCACCCCTGTAAAAATCACAAACCATCGCAGTTTAAACTGTCCTAACAATAGGGATATTCTGTCACTTGTCCATTTCATTCACTAGTACGCTTCCCAGCTGGTGCCCAAAATGAATCTTTTGAAGAATGGCTGGTGGATATCTTTGGTTTGCAGTCAAATGGAGAGTGTAAAAGATGAGTGGGAAACGTTGTGCTGATCTAAAAAAGTTTACTTCCAAAAAAGTATTTATATTTTTTTGAGAAAGAAACGTACTTTTTCAAGGACTGTCAAATATAGAAAACTAGGGCTGGCACGTAAAACTTCTGAGAAAAAATAAATGACTGTTCATTCAAATGAAAAAGTTCATAATACTGAATTTTAATCTTTTCCACTTAAATTTTACTTGAGGACTCATTTTAATTTTTCCTAAACTGCTAGAGCAATCAGAAAGTTATAAATATTGAAGCTCAGCTGTCACTCTAAGGAACATTTTTATGATTTTTAAGTTTAAAAAAAAAGTATATTAAAATGAAAAACAATTCTGATATTTTGTGGGAGAACCTCAAGTACCTTGCTACACCCTGCATTATTACTAAATCGTCAAAAGTGATGACAGGCTGTAAAAATGCTTGGAATGCTGTGCTATATCTACTCACCAGGCATGATAATCTTCCCAGCCTCATTAGGAAATGGAAATGAAACCAGAGACAGGACCCAAACACTTTTTTCATATTTCACAATACTCTTTTAGTTCTTCAAAAATGAACCATCTTTCATTTCTGTGTCTATGTAAACTGATATTTCCAGATGATTTCTAAAATATACAAATACACACATATACACAAATGTGAACAACCTACAATCCTCTACTCAGCACACCAATATGAGCTATAGAAATAAATTCAAATAATGTTATCAGTGCCTTCCAGTGGCTTAGCTTTACCATCTAGTTGAAGGAGACTGTCATCCATACATAAAATCACTAGAGGACAATATAAGAGAAGTAACTGTTCAAATATAATATGAAGACACAAATAGGTAGAGGGAGAAGGAGGAGATGATGACGTATGTGCCCTTCAGTCCTCTCAAATTAAAGAACTTGAAATAAGACCTTCACGGGTATCTCAGTTACATTAATCGATTTCATAGAACAGTGACTGCCAAATTCAGGCAGTGACCAGAGCAACCTTCCAAGTTTTCGCCTAACCTCAATGAACTAAGAAAAATAAGTTTCACAAAGCCAAAGCTCTTTGATTAATAATGTCTTTTTGATGCAGCAGTATGGGCTTTTTCTTTCTTTTTTGTGACAGGATTCAAGATAATAATGTGTGGTTAATCTTTTTATTTGACAAAAACTAGCATTCCTATGACATTTTCCACAAGACTCTGGGACATGGTGACTTACAATTCAGTTTCATCTAAGAATCAGAGGGTTTGTCATTAATAAACCCAGATATTTTCCTGAACTGTTTGAAGACCTAATATCAGTTACTGGGGCACTGCTGCAGTGTTGTCTCAGTGGAAACACACAGAAAGTCCTTAAGGGAAAGGATGATCATCTACAGAGTTGCAGGAAACTAGAAAGACAAGGTCATGGTGACAAAATTCCCTTCTTTGGGACAGCACTAACCAACCTTCATCACAGAGGGAAGACCAGCTTCCCAGTGAAGATTTACAGCCAACAATGACTCAGTAGCAAAAAAGTGTAAGAGTCACAAGGAAAACCCTTCATTCTGACAGCCAAAGACTCTGTCACAGGGGCAATAATTACTGGCATCTCTTGGAAGATATGGAGATTCATAGGTTTCAAGGACAGTGCCAGTGTGTTTGGGGCCATTAAAGCCCACTTTGATGAGACAGGTGGCTTGCGTGGAGTGACATCAAAGATACAGACTAGCCACGCCTGACCAAATGTGCCAACTGATTGTAGCACAATCGTGATCCTCAAGGGAGCCACTTGACTGTGGTAGCTTCCCCCAGAAGGTCCCCATGCCTGGGAGCTGTGAGTGGAACAATCCTAGAAGCACACAGAACGGTCCTTCTTAGATCTAACAGGAGACAAGGAGGAACCAGCCCTCATCCTGAATCTGGAAAAGGTACCAGAGGATCCAAATCAGGGGATTGTATATGTTTACATTTTTACCTCTGACATAGCATCTAGAACTTGTTTTTTATTCTAAAATTTCATCTTAATTTGTTTGACGACCATTCGAAAACATAGAATTTGAATTTTTCTAAGTTTCAAAATAAAATCTTAAATTAAGAAAATGATAGTCAAGTTATGCATGATGACCCATAGTTCTTGAAAAATGTCAACACAGTAAAAGGGGTAAGAGTATAATGATAAATGTGGGTTAGGAACTGATATTACAAACCATGGCCTGTCTGAGGTGCATGTTCTTAAATCTGGTATCTTAAAAATGGCTTAGGACAGAGGATCGGCTAGGGCCTTAGTGACAGGGGCACCGGCATGAGCAAAGGACCAAGCAGGAAAGAGCATGCAGAGAATGAACAAGGATTGTGTTTAGGGCCGTGGAGCAGAACCACAAATGCACAGTACTGGCAGACGCTGGAGGACTCTGCAGCCCTCGAGGCGGTCTTCCTCTTACAAACTCTAGGGAGGAACTGGTGGTTCTCACCTAGGAAGAGCCAGGTTAAAATAGATGGCAGAATGGAAAGATCAAGCAATGAGTAAACACTGAGAGTGAAAGACTAAAGAAAGGAACATTTTGAGTGCAAGAAATAGTAACAAAGAAAGGAAGGGGAGTCAGACGTGACTGTAAAGTTTTCATTTCAGTGTCTGAGAGTACAACAGGAAGGCGGGAAGAGAACAGGCTGAAGTCAGCTTTAGACAAGGTGACTTCTAAGTGACAAATGACACCTGGGCCTGGGGAGCATCAGATCTGAGAGGACAGGCACAGACTCCACCTAGAATTCAGAGAGGCCGCAGAACTTCTGTCAGGTTTCCTTAGGCTTCAATTTTTATTTCTGAGAGAAAGAAAATGTTTTATTGGGTCAGGTAGTGTGATAGGCACTGGGAATTTAAAGTGATAAACAAGTCAAACACAAATCTTAACTTCATGGTCCTAACTGCAATAAGTAGAGTTTGCATAGTCCAACAATCCACTTATATAATGAGACCAGAATTTTATATAATTTACTTATACATAGGCTGTTTTGTATAGATTGTCATTGGAACTATGAATGACAGAAAAAGAAAGGTATATATATATATATATATATATATATATATATATATAATATCATACAGGATTACATATATATATAGCTTTATATTATATACTGCATAAATAGATCATCTATGTCTACACCCTATAGCCTGAATCAATCTACCTGCAAATTATAAATATTTTTGATTGTATGTATTTACTTAAGGTTTCTTAACTAAAGAAGGCTAAATCTGGGGCCTGAGAAGTGGTTGTTTTGCCTCTGTCAGCTGTTAAGTCATTTAATATATTTTCCAAAATACCTTTTTCCCAGGGCTATGTCCCTGAAGACATCCAGGTCTGCTGACTTGATAGATCATCTCAGATTCTTGAAATTGATGGGGGTAGAGATAGATGTAAATAGGAAGAGAAGAAAATGGAGGAGTGTTTAGTGTAGAAGCCAGACCAGCTCAAGTCAATTAATAACTATCCTTTCTTTGCTAATCCTTGTATCAGTGATCTCTGTCTGAAATAGCTGAAACAGAAAACCATTATATCTAATATATGCAGCTTTCTCTTGTTTATGTCAGAAAAAAATACATCAGTTGAGGAAAAGCATTAACAAGACCAGAATGACTAGTTTGATATCCAAGAATAAAATCACTAGCAAGGCTAGAATGTGATGAATGGGAAATCTTCACTCCCACAAACTGACCTTTCTCCCTGATGCCTGTGGATCAGTTTACTCCCATAAAAATGTCCTGCAAAGAATAGCTACAGCATACCAGACTTCGACATTGACAAGCAGCCAGCAGCTTTTTCTACTGCTCCTGAAACTCTAGGGTTCAGTTGCTTTATTTGAAATTATCACTGAGTTCAGGGACATGGTGGCCTGCTGTGGGGTTTCCCTCAGAAATCAGGAAATGATAAATTCTGATAAGCCCTTCCCTAGGGCTAAGGCTTCAGAGCAGAAGCAATTCTTCTGAAAGCAATAGTGTCCTTATTTCTTCCACACAATATAGCAAAAAGGGCAATGAGAGTGTCCAATACTAATGGCAAGAAGATGATTCACGTACTGCAATTATGTTTGCCTCTCTTCCCTCTTGACCACAATATAAAAACAGTATACCCTCTATTAAGATAATATAATACCTCCTACTGAGATGGGGCTTTTGATTTAAGGAATTCTAGCATCTTTCCAAAATAACATTTCATGACTTTCTATTTTTCTCCTTAAAAATAAATCATATTTATTATGTGACATAATGAGTCAATACATCAGTAAGAGATGATGAACTCGTTGCATGCTCTGAAGGTAAATATCGTTAGCGTCCCAAAAAGATGCAAGCCACAGAAATTTTGTCAATACATATTTACCAAGTACCTAGTTGATATTCTGCCAGGCAGAAACATATACAGTATGCTACATATCCTAAACCAATAAGATTGATTTTTCAATAAGATCAAGCCGTCCCTATGTAAAATAATCACACTTCATCTTAGGAAGTATTCCACACTTCAGATAAGTTTCTGGTAGGTCACACTGGTGTGCTGCTCATACTCATATTTGAGTTATGTCTTCTTTTTGAACACTGGTCATTTTATGCTTGTGTCACATGAGAGGACAATAAGGCAAAGCGAAACTCTTCTGTCCACCAAAGACCTACACAGAGGAAATGGGAAAACAAGAAATGCAAATTTATTTTCCACTAATTGAACTTCACCTGTTCCCTAAATTCCTAACCAAGCAGTGTCAGATTTTTTAAAATACCCATATTCTCTTTGTTTGCTTAACACATAACAATAGAATAACATTTGAACAATAAGAAGGTAAAGCATAAAGTTATCCTACCATCATCAGACACTAAAAAAGAAAGTGAAATTGTAAAGTAGTAAATCACTACAGCTTTCCACCATTTCATATATTATGGAAAAAATACATAAGGAAAAGATATTATTTTAAGATTTAGCAGTTTCCTACAAAATCTCTCAAGACTTCTTCAGCTTGGTTTCTTTCTGCTTACTTACCCTAAATGCTTTTTCCTCAAAATCTTCAACTCATGCTATGTTCCTCCCAACATTAAAGCATTTTGTTTGATTTATTTCAAATATCCCTTGATTCTTTCCCAGGTTTCAGCTCTGACTTGCGGATCCACTCTCTAACTCCTTCTATTGTGTAAAGCAGAGCATGTAACTGAACCGGACAGTCCCCGAGCTGTAGGGGACTCAGAATGCTGGGCTCTCTCATGAGGACCAATCTTATATGTAGGCTTTTGTTTGTATCTTCCATAATGCTTTATAGTGCAAATGTAGTATTTAAATGTTAGCCCTAAATATTTTCATGATAATTAGCTTTCATGATTAATCATTGTCATTCTCACCAGAATTAAAAAGGAGTTTATTTTATATTTTATCTGTATATTTATTTTCCAGCCTGTTTTGGTTTCTCTTGTCCTTACCCAGAGCATTTTGACACTTTATGTTGTTATTTAGCACTTACACAGGTTTTTTCAAAGCACTTGAGAAATAAACTACATAGTGAGCTGTATTTGTGGGCAGAGAGTAGATTATAATTCTGTTTTTGTCATTATCCCACTAGATAATGACACATTGACACAGACACAGACACAATGACACAGAAACATTTTCTGGCATTCACAGCCCCCCTGGAGCCTTGGAAGGAAGAAAACTTCAGAAAAAATAGATTCCTGCTACTACAAAATTAAGCTGCTAAAATTTAAGCAAATTAAAATATTTTAGCATGCCATAACCTCAATAACCAAAACCACAACTCTTGCAAGGAGGAGCAAAGCTGGCTGCCTTGGATGTGACTCTGCCTTCTTAACACCCCAATGGCATGACAAAGTCACAGAAGCACTTGTATAAGAGACACTCACTTCGTGGAGTATAGCTTCTTCCCATAAGATATGGGAATGCCCAATGACACTGAGCTTGGAGCCTCTGCTGTTTCATTTCCATTCTAATCACCTTGTTTCTAATAGGTGATTAGCTCATAGCAAAATCTCCATTCCCAACTGCAATTCCAGCCCTAACGTATCTCCTTTTGAGTGCAAGTTGATGTAAAGAAAGTTGTTCCCCTTGCTGTTTTATGAAATGAGAAATAGTCAAAAGTGAAAATGTAGCCATGTGGTGTCTGGATGCTTTTGGTGTTTTAATTGCAAAAATTTGTTTGACTAAACTTTGAACAGATATAATTTGACCTAAGAATGCTTCAGTGGGCAGTTGGACACATGGTAGACTTTTCTTGCTTTTTTTGAAAGTAGAAGAATGAAGCAGGGATATTAATGACCATTGGAGTAAATGCATAGCACAATTTAGTGTAGCCACAGTTGGTCTGAACTCTTGCTGTAGATGTTCTTGTGACTCTTGATCATCTCTCTTTCTACTAGTTAGAAATACTCTTGCGATTTACACAAAAAAGTAGCAAATGAATTGATAAAAAGCATTTAGAAATAAGCTAATTCTTCCTCTTATGTTACTCCTCACTTTATTGTCAGGAATAAACACCCTTCAAGTCCTCCCAAAGTGCCTGTAGATCTCCCCAACAGGCTCTTCAGTTGCCTATGTACCCAACAGTCACCAGAGGTCACCTGGTCTGTTTCTTTGGCTTCTGCTCTTTAACTCCCACCTTTGACATCACTGAAGAAGACACATCATTGTCACCAAGCACAGTAAAAGCCCTGACTTCTCGCTTGTGGTGCCATCTCAATTCTTCTTTGGCAGACCGTCCTTGGATCCTAGATGGACTCCAGCAGGATGGCCATCTCCCAGCTGTGTCGTGCTTCCAGCTGTCTCAAAGTCAGAAGACTTCTGTTTCTTTGATCCCTCTTCAACGTTTCCAGTAGTTTCTGGTTATCTCCATTTTTCTAGACTTTCAAAAAGTCAAACATGGAAATAATTCCATCATATTCAGATCCTTAACCCTAGCCCAAAACTCTCAAGTAAAATGTTAAGCAATAAATAAAAAACAGAAAGTGTATTTTTATTTCTGTCCTATTATCCTATTTTTTGTTTCCACAATCAGGACAGCTTCCAGTGCGTTCTTGTGGAAAGCTTGCCTGGAGCGAAGCCAGCCACCAAATCATGAGAATACTCGGGTAGCCCCGTAGAAAAGTCCATGCGGACAAGAGCTGAGTCCCAGTACTCAGTCGGCACCAGGGTGATAGACTTGTGAGTGAGCTGCCTTAGAAGACCTTCCAGTCCCATTCAAGTTTAGGATGATTACTTCCTCTGGTAAAATCTGACTGAAACCCTTGAAAAATCTAAACCAAATCATCCAGCCAAACACTTCTGACCCACAGAAACTGTGAAAATAAAAAGCTTACGGTATTGTTTTAAATCAGTCAGATGTAAAGCCATTTGCTATGTGTTAATAGATAGCTAATTCAGCTATTTCTGCTTACCAGTCTTTCTTTTTTTAATTTTATTTTAAAGAGAAAAAGTGAAAACAGAAAAATTGAGAAGCAAACAAACCTAAAAAACAACAACAAAAGAAAAAAAATTATATGGGTTTTCAAAACAAGATGATAAGAATTTAATAAGGGCTGCCATATTGCATACCATCATCTTCAAAATAGTTAATCAGGTTACCAGATGCAGGAATAAAACAAAACAATAAAATGGAACAAAACACTGGATTTCAAAAACAAGACAGAAGGCAGTTCCCACAGTTGCCACAGTGCACACTGCTATTCTCCAAATAGATGCCCAGACCACCAGCCCCAGGCCTGCAAAGTCAAACAATACAAGCATCAAGCTGTTGCTTTCACCTCAGTTGCTATCATCTCACTCTGAGTTCCTCTGCATCAGCCAGTTGCTCGGTAGGGAGGGAAGAATGCTCTTCTGGTTTCCCAGCCTGCATGCAGGCTGGCTCACAGGAAGGCGTGGTTTGAGTCTCTTCCTGATCCCCATGGTGGAGCCGGGCTCACAGGAAGCTGCTTACCAGACTTTCATCAGCAAAATTCTGTTTAACTTTATCATAGGGGAAATGATTACCTCAGGTGCCATACTTGAAGCTTAAATGTTAGGCTAGCTTGCACATCAAAGGGCAGTATCTACAGAATAAAAAGACAGAGTAAGAAAAGCAAGGAATGGGAGAAAAGCTTGCATGTTGTATATCTGATTAACAGTCAATATCTGGAATATATATGTATAAAAAAAACTACTACAACCCTACAACAATAATAGCAACCTGATAGTTATATGTAAAAATCGTTTTCTAAAAGAGGATAGAGAATCCAGAGATAGATTTGTGCAGAGGTTTAATTTGTTTTCAACAAGATATAAAGGTAATACATGGGAGAAGAGATAGTTTTTTGGTAAATAATGCTAGGACAATGCTGTACCTAAAAGTAAATAAATTTTAATCCATATATTACATGATACACAAAAATGAACTCAAACCGATCAGAGACCTATGAAAAAGGTAAAACTATCAGGGTTTTTTTTTTTTTAGAAAACAAACAAGAGCTTTCTACAAAGTTAAGCAGAACTTTCTTAAATGTGATACATAGGCACTATCCCCTATAGAAAAAAAGTGATAAATTGAACTTCATCAAAAATGAGATTTGTATGCTTTAAAGGCATTGGTAGTTAAGAAAATAAAATTACTAGACAAGGAGTAGAAGAAAATGTTTGCAAATTGTATTAAGAATATACAAATAATTTTCAAAATTCAATATTTAAAAAAAGGGTCGGAAGTGTTGTAGCTCAGTAGTAGAATGCTTAGCATATCTGAGACCCGAGGCTCAAATATTGAAGTAAAAAAGCACATGTAATGATTATGAACATCATTGATCTTCAGAGAAATGTAAATTAAAAGCACAATGAGATGCTACTACATGACTTTAGAATAGCCAAAATTAAAGACTGACCACCGCATGGATTCAGGAAACTGTAGAGTAGATGGGATGGCCCTACTCTGTCGATGAGAATGTGAAATAGGCCACCACTTCGGAAAACAATTTAGCAGATTCTCTAAAAGTTAGACATACCTCATAATAATCCAACCAGTCTGGTTCAAGATATGTACCAAGAGAAATGAAAACAAATATCCATACAGAAACTAGTATAAAACTGTTCATAACAGCTTTATCTGCAATAGCCCAAGACTAGAAACAACTCGCACAATGAGAAAAAGAATAAACAAGCTACAGTATACTTATATGGAATACAATGGAAAAGAAGACATGAAACTACCTGGATGAGTGAGCAAAATCAGACTGAGTGCACGCTCTACGATTCTATTCAGATAAAAATGTAGAAAATACAAATTAAACTATAGTGACAAAAACTGTATCATTGGTTGCCTGGAGACACAAAGCTGCCACAGAAAGGAAATGAGATGAGAGACATCAAAGGAATAAAAAGAAACACTTGGAGCTGATGGAGATGTTCATTATCTTGACTGTGGTGATGATTTCGCCAGTACACAGGTATTTCACTTTAGATATGAGCAGTTTTTCTGTATATGAATTATTCTTCAATAAAGCTGTTTTTGCTTAGAATGGTAACACACTTTTCTAATCCCAGCACTTTAAGAGGCTGAGGCAGGAGAATCATAAATTTCACCCCAGCCTAAGCAATTTAACAACTTAATGAGGCCCCTGTCTTAAAAATAAAAGCAACTGGGAATGTAGCTCAGTGTAAAAACCTTGGGTTTAATTCCCATTATACAAGAATAAATAGTGCTATTTTTATAGTTAGGTTTATAAACATTTTTTAAATAAGTGTGTTATTAAATCACTCAGGGAATTATGTTTTGCTCTCTGTCCTATATCTAAAACCTATTTTAAATGTTTGCATAAACACTATCATAACTATCAAAATATTTAAGCAAAGACATAATAGAGACATAAAATCAAAGAAAAAAATAAACCTGTTCAAAATCACCTACAAACAGCTCCTACAACCTTGGGACAGAAGGAAGAGGAAACTGCCTGTCAGAGAGGCCTCTTTTGTAGAATTGGATTAGTTTCTTCTCTCTATCGTGAAGGTTTCCCACTGACTTCAAAGAAGTCTTCAGATCAGAGAAAAGCAGAGCTTGGCTGAATAATTGTTGTGAGGTTGAGGCTCTCTTAAAGAGATTCTTTTTTGAGTGGTACTGGTAATGACATTATCATATTATCAATGATAACAGAGCTTTGGGGAAGGGAGACGGAGCCACTAAAACCCTCTTAAGCATCAAAGGGAAGACAAAAAATGCATTCAAATCAAAGCAGAATTTTTAAAGTCATGGCTTAGTGATGTAATTCCTTGCTTTAAGAAAGACTGTGACAAATAAGAAACTGCTTCTATGTGAGATTGGCTTTGCCAGCTAGCTCTCACCAGTTTCTGGGAGGAAAACACTCCCCCAAAAATAGAGAAATTTATTATTCAGCCCACTTCATACAACAACTTAATGTTGATACAAATATGGCATGTGTATTGGGGTCACGCTGGTGCATGTATAATAATTGTACCCTGTGCAAAGAAATAGAATCACGCTACAGAGGTGAGGTGACCCAGATAATAGGAATGCAGAGGATAGCCTTGTGGCTAAAGAAAAAATCGACTCACAAATAATACATTGAGAAACTGAGCAGGGGTTATATTTTGGGAATAACTGAACAGTTGGGTCTAAGTATTGCTGGGACAAAAAAATAATTAGCAGATAGATTTATAGTTTCATAAACCAACAGGAAAAATGGAACTGTTTTCCTCGTGTTGCACAACAAAGACGGACAGTCAGAGCTAAAAATCCATTCTTACGAACTGAGCTAGAAATGTGATTTAATGTTCCTGGTAAAATATCAATTCAAAGATCTGATAAGTATTAGAATTAAGGAAAAATTTATCACTGAGTAGTACAAAAAGAGAAAAAAATACTGGTACACTAACAACCTCTAAGTAAAGCTGAATGTGTTAAATATGTTAACAAATATTTGGGCAACAGAAAAAAAAGTAGAGATTAATACCAGTGTGAGTTTAACAGAGAAACATGTAATACACAAAGAATCACACAAGAGTGTCATAAAAACAGCATGCTGAAAACATCTTGTACTTAGAAGGCACTCAGAATAAGAGTTCTTATTTCATTCATCATTCAAGGAGTATGAAGGTCTGCAGCTTTTAAAAGTAGAGAAATTTTTCATTAGCTTTCTACATCACAACACGAATTTATTCTTTAGCTCCTCTGGCTATCCCTCCCAGACTGTTGGATGACTTCCACACAAGGAGCTTCTTCTAGGTGAAAATTCCTTGGATCCAGCTGGAACCAGATTGGCCCTGTTCCCCAGTCTGCACTGTCTAAACAAACTGGGTCCTAGATGAAGCCAGTATTCAGACTGAGTTCTTCATCTACTATTTATATTCAGACTGAGGCTAGCATCATGGCCTAAACACCCCATCCTAGCCTACTGAGCTCGTGCCTGTAGCTACCAGTTAGCTCTGCTGTTTCCTTAAACTCTGAGGCTACCTCCCTGTTTGCTTCACAGGTAAGAGGGCCAGCAGGGTCTCGCCAGTTACAAACTGAAAAGCAGTGGGATTGCATGTCTCTGTTATATCCACAGTGTATTACATCAGACTCCTGAGCAGAAAGCTGCTTGAAACTTCTCTGGAATAATTTCCACAGAGCAAAACATCATTCAGTACTGGCAGTAAAATCAAAATACTCCAGATTCTGTCCATACAGTCACTTAATGAATTAAAAAACATTCATGAGGCACACATTATGTGCAAATTATGTATACTGGAAGCATATTCAGCAAATAAAGATACAAGTTGCTAAGTTAAATTTGAATTTCAGATAAATAATTTTAGCATAAACAGTCTTGTGTAATATTAATAATTCAAGTATTAGTTATGCTTATGTTTTAAAATTATTTACCTGAAATTCACATTCAACAATGGGTCATGCATTTTATCTGACAAGTCAATTGGGAGAAATAGAAAAGGGTTTGAAGAAGTTGCTGAGATCAGACAAACAGGAAAGGGCACTGAGAATGGACAGGAAAAGGTGCTGAAATGGACGAAGGCCCGGAGCGATTGCATTTTCAGAGATGATGACTACAGCAGTTCATATAAACAGGTTTTATGTAGGAAACTAAAGTTAAAGCAGTTAGAGATTGTTATGGTCGAGATCTAAAATGTCCCCCAAGTTCCCTGTATTTACTGAAGCGAGGAATTGCTGTGCTCATCACTGACCAGATATCTGCTATACTTTTGGAAGGCGGGCTCTGGGTAGAGCCAGGTCATTGTGGGCGTGACCTGAAGGCTTGTGTCTCTTTCCCCAGCTCCTTCCTTTTCTCCTCTTTCCTGGGCACCATAATGTGGGCAGCTTTCCTCCACTCTGCCCCGCTGACATCCTCCTTCTGGCCTGGACCCAGCTAACCATGAACTGTAATCATGAGCCAAAATAATCCTCTCCTCCTTAAATTGAGAGTATAAGGTATTTTATGCTAATGATGAGGAAAGTGACTAAGATATGAACCTATTTTGTGGAATCTTAAACAGTGGGCAATCTTTATGTAGCGAAAATGTAAGAGTGGAGTATATTTTATAAGCCAGCTCTTAGATTTATTTTTGAATTATCTTGTTTAACAAAACACTTGGAAGGAATATTTTGGTTATTGGAAAGCAACTCTCAGAATTTGTCCAAAATGAACATGGAGAGACTATGAGAAAGCTGAACTGATACACACGAAAGGAAAAGGAAATCATGATATTCTGGTACAGCCGTACAAATGAAACATTAGACAAGAATTTTGAAGAGGCTAGTATGAGGGCAACAAGCCAACAGATAAAAGGTGGAAAGTATTTTTCAGGAGAAATTTCTTGTGGCAACCAAATTGCTTGAAACAATACAGGTGGCCAAATATTTCATCTCATATCATCATGTGCTACTGTTCAGTTATCTAAGACTCTCATTGCCTGAAACACTTGAGGAAATGTCCAACACTCAGAAGACCATTTGAGAAGAGAGCTTAAAGGAGCTGTTTACCGCACTGGAGGGTGTGCAGGACCAAGGGCAGAAAACAAGCCCTGGGCAAGAATCCAGCAGAAGAAAATATTTCCAAGTAGGAAGCTGAAGTAAAGGACACATATAAAACATATATCTCTGGGGGAACTCACAGAAATCTTGAGGAGAACAAAGACTTGCACTTTGCCATTAAAGCACATTTAAATCCAGCTGAAACTTGGCTCTATGCATGTAGATGTAGCTTCTCATAGTTCAGGAATAAATGATTGCAATATAGATGTCTTGCTATCCACACTCTTTCATCTTGATTACTATTTTTGGACATCTGAGTACCTTTGCCAACATTCATTCAGTCTCAGAGACAGATGAAACAACTCAAAATTATTTTCCTTTTCTACTATCTCTGGAAAGAAATGTTATAGGAATGCATTGGTTTCATGACTCTATACGAGTTTGCATAGCTATGAACATTTAAGGAAGAAGTATAGCTTTGTACTCACCCTGTTAGCTCCATCTATTTGAGTATGTGTATATGTCTTCCCGTGCTCCAATGAGCTCAAATGTATATAAGATTATAATTTTTCCCTGGAGTGATTGAATTTATTCCACAATCTATTAAAAAAAAAAACTCTTCTTGTAACTGCATGCAATGTTTCTCAGCTGTAGTTTTAATGTTTTCCCAAAAATTAAGCATTGGTTCATTACAGTGACAAATTAACATAGCACATTGTTATTTCCAGAATAATGACCTCAAAGTGGTTTTATTTGGTTCAACAACTGTATAGTTTCAGAGTGGGAGCTATACCGTGACCATAATAATAGTTTGGAGAGTTTCTTTCTGGGCTGGGGATGCAGCTCAGTGGTAGAGTACTTGCCTGTGCAAAGTCCTCTCCTTAGTACCACAATTTTAAAAAAATAGTTTCTTCCTGATAGGAAATGAAGGGAGCACCTAGAATTAAAGGTGCACATTGAGTCCTCAGGAACATTAGAGAAAGGTAGGATGTTTTCTTTATGTTTAGAGCTAGGGAGAAGCCAGTTATTGCAGCCTCTGTAATTATGATGCTATTGCTCTTTTATAGTCTCTGCAAAAACTGAAAAACAGGGAATCCATAATTCGCCATTAGTGCTGAAAATATCTGTGGTCGTGCTTTGGCAAGTTTAATAAATCAACATATCAAACTTGCAAAGTAGTGTCTTTCGGTGTGGAAAGGACATGATAAAGTGGAGATAACCAGCTTGTCTCCTGGTAACTGCACTGCAGCTTTCCTGAAGCTGTCACCTTACTAACCTGCTGTCCCAGTTCTCTTTTATTTATCATTATTGTTTATTCTGACTAGTACCTATCATCACCATTTGAATCATTCCCAATTGGACGCATCTGGATTGACCAATTTTTTTTCAATTTTTGCAATAATTTCCATTAGTGTTTCAAAAATTCAAAGATAAGCAGCACAACTCACAAAAGCTAAATCTTAGAAATAGTGTATATGTCCATAAACAGATAACTGGATGAAGAAAATATGGTATAGATACCCAGTGAAGTATTACTCAGCAATAAGTAGGGATAAATTTGCAGGAAAGTAGATTACCTTAAGATCATAATCCTAAGGCACCATGCACTAGCTGCGGAGGGGAGACCCAGATGCCAGCCCTTCTGGTGCACAGGCTGGGAAACAAGAAGAGCCCCCACTTCCCACTCCCACCCCCACCGTAAGCAACTGACTGACCCAGAGAAACACAGGCTGTGATGACAGCTATTGAGGTAAAATACAATTTAGTGCTGTAGTGTTTAGTTTTCACTGACTTTGCGGATCTAATCATCTCTATAGAGGATAACAATATGCAATATAGCATCTCTGGGGGATTCTCTTCTGAAGGTGGTAGCCACTGTTAATTCCATATTATCTTGTTTTAAAGTCCAATATCATTTTCATTGTTTTGTTGGGTTGGGTTTTATTCTGTGTTGTTTTGTTTGATTTTATTATATTCAATGGCATGGACAGCTATTTCAAGATATATTATGGTAGCCATTTTGGATTTACTATTATCTTGTTTTGAAATCCTTTATTGCATTCATTGTTTTGTTTTTATTGGTTCTGTTCAGTCCTGTTTCATTTTTACTATACCTGAGAATATCTGCAGCCATTTCAAAGACAACAAAAGGCAATATGGTAACTATGGTTGATTTCCTATTGTTCTGAAGTCCTGTGTCACTTACACTAGTTTGTTTTGATTGGCTTTGTTCTGTTTTATTTTGCTTGATTTTATTCTTTTTAAAATAAAAAATATCATAATACTCATTGAAATAAATCAGACATAAAAGGTTAAACATAGCACAGTTTCTCTTCTATAAGAAACAAAAAGTATAAATAAGTTAAAGAGCAAAATAAAAAGTATTAAGGGACAAGAAGGTAGACTGTTTGGAGATGGGAGGGGGATCTAGGAACAAAGGGAGGGTGAGGGGATGTAAGTATGGTTTAAATGTGACCTGTGTACATACCAGCTCCCACGATGATCATATTCATCATGCATCAAAACACGTACTTAAAGAAAAAAACCAAAGAAAGAAAAATCTACATTTTAGCAAAGGCATCTTATTTCTATTCCCTGTTCTTATTTCAGTGCCTTTATTAATAGATATATAGACATGCCACACATTTCTTCATTTGTTTTATAGCATGATCTTCTTAATTATTAAAGATTAGAGTATCCAGATGATCTGACATGTCCTTGGAGCCACAAAAGGTCTGAGGCACTTAATAAGAAAAATAGATTTATTTAAATCCATGACACAGTTTAAAGTTCTTATTTATCCAAATCAAACAGATCCCTTCATGACGAATCTTTTTTTCAAGCTATCAGAATTCTCAGGGCATATTCCTCCTTCATAAAGTCACCATCTTTTTATTCCTGGGTAATCTGTCCCTTTGCATCTGCTTCTGACTGACTTTTCACTTTTACTCATCAGAGAAATGGAAAATAAGTGAAAATTATGTTTGTACTATATTTAATAATTGTAGGTCATCAGACAAAGAAGATTGGAGCTACTGCCTTAAACCAAACTTTATTCTAAATAAAACTTTCTAAAAAGATTATCACCGGGGATTTAGCTCAGCGGCATAAGTGCCTTCCTTGCAAGCCCGTGGTCGTGAGTTCCATCCCTGGTACCAATTTTTAAAAAAAAGAAATATAAATGATAAAATCACACTGAAGAGTCACACCTGGGTTTCATGTATGACTATAATAGCTTTCACAGTTCAGGGCCTAAAATACCATCTGTTCCTTTTGCATCCCTAAATTAATTGAGAAATTCAGAATCAGTGGCAAGGGCTAGAATACTATAAGACAAGATCGACTGGAGGGAGAGGAATAGAAAGCATTGGATGCGAAACAGCGGGTGGGATGTGATACAGCCAGTGCCAGTAAATAACACTCCTTCCCGGGACAATTCTTGCACTGTCAATATCATTTCCCCACCCTCCTATCCATGCACCAGGTATCTCAGAAAGGTAAGCGTGGAAGAAGCCAAGAAATTAACACAACCTTTTAGATTCCCCTCTTTCCTGCATCTCGCTGTATTAATTGAGTCTTTCTTTGGGCTCATCATTGACCTAAGTCACCACATAGGCCATGAAGGGTGCAGAACAAGGACATGGGCAGGAAATGGGAGAATCCCTGGGGGTGAAGGGTTCAGGCCCAGTAGGAATAAGAATTGTGACTACAAATTCAGGGGACCTCTGGGCCTGGTCTCGGGTCTGAATTGCAGTTGCCTCGTGATTTTAAATAGTGATTTTTCTAAGGTTCACTAGCTGCCACTTTCTCACTCATTGCCAGGTCAGTTTCCCAGGCATTGTGTTCATTCTGTCTTCTCAGTGCAAAGAGAGACTAGGGGCTATTCACACTCACCCCAACCAAGCTCTTAAAACAAGGAACCAGAAATAACAAAAACAGAATCCTCCGTGGGACACCAGCCTATAAAAATGTTAAAGATGAAGGCATCAGAAGCTTCTAGACAGCGCAGTTGTTCTGGCTATGACTTGTAATTTAGGGCTGGAAGTGAAGTCAGAGAGCATCCCATCACCACCGAAGCCTTTCTCAGAGACCCTAGGAGCAGCTGGGTCATGTGTGGCCAAACCCAATACCCAGCTTGTCGGGTCCTTCACTTTTGTAGTGATGATGATATAGCTCTATTTTCCACGGTACTTACCGTGTGCCCGGTACCATTCTTGCGGTTTATAGACACTACCTCACTTAACCTGACAGCCACCGCCATGACCTGGGACATAGTATTAGCGGCCATCCACAAGCCAATGACCGGCGACCCGGTGTGGGAAAATAACTTGCTCAATCCCCAAAATGACCGAAAGGTGAGCTTCCTACTGTGAACTCACACACACACTTCCACTTCTGAGGAATGTGTGTAAACATCCCTACCATCACTGTTTCTCACCCTTCACTCCAGAGAAACGTCTGTCCTGAAGCCTGGCGCCTGGTACTTTCCTTGTGCCATCATCCTGCGGTAAATGACTGGATTCTGACACACATGACAGTGTCAGAGCATAGGTGTACAATTCAGCAACATCAGTTTCTCTCTCTGCTGCTCAAAGAAACAAGTAACACTTGCTTGTCCTTATCCTTCCCAACGCGTCAGCTTCTTGAAATGCTTTAAGCAATTTGATTCCTGGGAGGAACTTCATTCCCTCCTACGTTCTGCCTTTGATTCTGTGTGGAAAGTAATATATTCCATATGATACATACACGTTGCATATATACAGGAAATAACAATGAGAAAGTTGACATAATCTTCACCAGCTATGATAAATTACTTGCCAAATTGTCTATTCATTCCCATGCCAGAAGCAGAAGGGGTGCACAGCCACCCCCTGCAGTTAGAAAAACTGTCACTTATAACAAGTCACCCACCAGAGTTGCGGGCAGTTGTCTTACTTCTTTTATTTTTCTCTTTTCTACTTCTGGTTGAACTAAAACCGCTCTCGAAGCACGGAAGTCAACAGATGACTTGTTTTTTTTCCTGCTGCGCAGAACCTGAAGCGGGTGGCTGAGACGTGGATGGATGAATTCGCAGAGTACATTTACCAGCGGCGGCCCGAGTACCGGCACCTCTCCACCGGGGACATCTCAGCCCAGAAGGAGCTTCGCAAGCAGCTCAAGTGCAAGGACTTCAAATGGTTCATGGCTGCGGTGGCCTGGGATGTGCCTAAGTACTACCCTCCGGTGGAGCCCCCACCTGCTGCCTGGGGGGAGGTGAGAGACCTGCACTTCCTGTGAGCACCAGTCCATCTCCCCTAGGCCCGAGCAGTGGGATGATGGATAGCTAACCCTTCTCTCCTTCAGCCAAGCAAGGTTCATTTAAATCACCTCAGAGAAATGAATGTTAGACTTCACTTTTTAAACACTTCCCCACCCCACCTTTTTTTTTTTTTTTTTTTTTTTTTTGAGACAGTTTTTCAATATGTGGTTCAGGCTGGCCTTGAACTCACCTAAGTAGCCCAAACCAGTCTCAAACTCGTAGGGATCCACCTGCTTCAGCCTCCCCCTGCCTCAGCCTCCCAGTGCTGGGATTATAGGCAAGTGCCGTCACACCTGGTTCCAATTTCTTTCTAGAAATTATAGCAAATAAAGATTCAGCCCTCTGTGTCAGTCAGTAAGCTAACCCAGAACTACAGACTGCAGTTGATTCCTCAAACAGATTCCCTAAAATACACCTGGAAAATATTTTCACTTAAAATTAGTGAGACTGCCATGGAACTTAAAAAGAATGAAACTATCACTTGTGTTACAATGTCAATAGCATGGTCAGCTAGATATCCAGGCTAAGCTCCCTCTCTGTCCCCCGGGCAAGGCCCTGGGGCCAATTATTTGGGCACATACAGGATGACGAGCGGCCTGGCTGTTTTCCTAACAAGGGTGTGCCACGTAGAATCATAAAGAAATGCCTTCCTGCAGCACAGGACTACAGCCTCCGGGAGCCAGCCTGGTTCCTTAAATAAGCGCTGACCTTCCCACTTCGGAATGCTTCTGTTTGATTCCACTTCTTGATCTAAAATGCAAGAGCAAACTAGCCCCAGGTCCCAAATTTAAAACGTCTACCCTTGGGCATAAAAAGGACAGTGACACGGGTTTTGTTCCACTTAGTGCTGTTACGGTAGCCTTTTCCCGGTGGAAAAGAGTGTGCTAAAGTGAAAGTAGCACGGATTTATCGCGGCAATTTAACCTGCTCTTAGGCTGTAGATATCAAGGGGAAGCAGGCTGGCCTCCAAATAGCCCCGCGGCAGTTCTCCAGCCCTGCAGCTATTAGGCGGTGTGAGTGAGCTTTTCTGTCATCACCCGGTTTGGGGAAGCAGGTAAAAAGATGCTGTTGTCTAGTTAGGGTGTACGTGGAAGAGCTGTGACCTGAAAGCTTGCTGTGAGTGTAGGAGCAGCTGCCAGATTTCCCTCCCTGTGTGAAGGGCAGTATTCAACCAGCCTCAGCTCTGTGCGGTCCAGGAAGGTGCTGCTCTCCTCCTGGCCCTGCATATCCCGGCACACAGGAGCCTGCAGGCCGTCTCCGCACGTTTCCTGTATGAATTTGTGCTTGACATTGTAATGCTTATTTGACCTCATCCTTTGTGTCGTAAGCATTCCATTAAGATTTCCCTGGGGAGTAGCTGGGCTACTCTGATTAGTATCAGTTTGACCAATCTACCGTGGGTTTAATTTAGAGAAAATAACCAAGTTGATGCCAGAAAGAATTTTCTTAGCCTGACACACTGGAAGGCGTATAGATTTGTTATATCAGTAAGTGCAGAATTCCTTCCTAAAGTTCTTTTGTTTTGTTTTGTTTTTTGGCTGAGAATCTGTTTGCCAGCTTTTTATGGTGTCTTACATGCTGTCCTGCCTACTAGGAAATACACTTGAACACAACACAGTATCATTGTGCAATTCAGTGTTAGGTTAAGATCTCATCAATCTTTTTTTTTTTTTCTTATGTGGAAACCTAAATTTTGTTCCTACCTTGTTACAACTTCAAATTGCAATTGGTTACATTTTCCCTTGTTATCTAACTACTCCATAACCTGTATTTAGAAAGCTCCTTTTTGGAAACAGGCTCATGTTTCCATTGTGGTTCTAGAAAATCCAGACACAGTCAAAATAAGAGCCATTTTAAGATCCAGTACAGTAGGCCTGTGTTCCTATTCGTTATGTTTGAGCACCTCACACTCTGCGTCACTTGCCTGATCCCCAGAGACACGGGCATCCATCATTTCTGATTTAAACAATCAGACACTGGAATTAGATTTGTTTTTTTTAGCAAGGTGGCTAATTCTTCCTCCCAAAGGTTCAAAATAAAAGGCAGATTTTAGTGTAGACAAGAACAAAATGGGCATATATGTGTGGGTTGGTTGTATTCAGTCACATTTGTTCAGTGTAGATGTGGGTGTATACAGAATGAAGAAGAAAAATGGAGGAAGACAAAAAAGAAAATCAACAATGGTAAGACTTTGCACCTATAGTTAATTTTGAAGCAGATCTATTTCCCAATCAGAGTGCATTTTAGCAAGAAGTGAAATATCTGCATTTAATCCTCAAGGAAAGTAAAAAACTTGCAATTGAGTTGTAAGAGAGGCCATTTTCTAACTGTTAGATAATAACAATCTACTTCTTATGAATAGCAACCTAATCTTAGCAAATGATTAAAAAGATGATGAACAGAACGTATCTGTGGGCCTATTTAACCTCTGAAAAGAAATCTTTTGAAATTTTCACACTCGTGTGATTAGTTTTCCCTTTCAGAGCTTTTATTTTTTTTTTACTTCAGAATAATTTAAATTTATAGGAACATTGTATAGGTAAAAGTGATTTACATACATCCTTCATCTAGCTGCTTCCAGAGTTGACATTTTGTATTTACCTCATTGTCCATTGGTATAAAACTTCACTAAATGTAGACTTGATTCTGATTTCACCAGTTTCTTCTCTGTCTGTCCCTCTCTCTGTCTCTCTGTCTCTCTGTCTCTCTGTCCCTCTCTCTGTCTCTCTCTCTCTTTCTGTCTGTCTCTGTCTCTCTCTCTCTCTCTCTCTCTCTCTCTCTCTCTCTCTCTCTGTCTGTCTCTGTCTCTGTCTCTCTCTCTCCCATCCTTTATTTGTTCCAGGATCCTATCCAGTACACGAGAAAGCTTTTTAAGTTCCTAAAAATTTAAAATAACAGAACAAGCAAAGCTCCTAAATAAGTGTAATAAGTCAGTCGCTGTTTTAGTAAGCACGTGCAAAGGGCAATGAAACTGTGGCTCTTTTCTAGCAGTTCTGAGAAGGAGCCAAACCTTCCAGCAACACAAACACGAGAGCTCTTTATGGGAGACCCGTGCCAAGCAGCAGGGCAACGTGCCGTTTTATGCACTTGTACTTGGGATCGTTTTCCATCTGCTTCACTGTGCCAGCCTGATTCTAGGTAAACAATGGAATGCTTAGGCAATTTCTGGCTCTGGTAGTTGAACTCAGCTTGTAAAGAATATATTAGACTAAACAGCCTATAAACCACTACTTGTTTCCCTGACAAGTTCGGCTGTGTCACTGTACTTGTCTCCTAACTCATCTCTTTCCATCTGTCTTTCCCTCTTTCAGTTTACTCTCAGCCTAGTCCTCTCAAAATGAGAGATCAGGACACTCCTCCTAAAACCAGAGATGCTAAGTGATCTGAGCTCTGTTGTGTCTGCTTCACCTTCATTTCTTACAAGCTCTAGTTTGCAGTTCTATCAATATATTGGCCTCATTGCCCATTGCTCAAACAAGCCTCACACAATCTCACCTCAGGACCTTTGCATATGCTGCTTCCAATACTTAGACTGTTGCAACCCAAGCAATCTTGTGTGAGGCTGCTCCCATCACTTTCTTCAGGATGTCACTCAGAATCCCATCCTCTCAGTAAAATCTTCACTGGTCATGCTATCTAACTGGCAACAATCCACATAGGCTCACATATGCATGCATATGTTCCTCTGTATTCTTCCTTTATTTTTCTCCTTAGCATCCATCACTATATATCAAGTTATATAATTTATTTAGTGATCATATTTCACATAAATCCCCTCCACAAGAAACCTTGTTCCTTGAGACAGAATGTTGTTGGTTTGTTTTGTTACCACAATAAATTTTTTGGCAAATTTAACAAACTTTTGGCTAATTCAACAAATATCTTTGGCAGCAAGGAATAGTGTCAGGCATGCTGTAAGTGCTCAGTAACTATTTCTTGGGTGACTGAAAGATGAAGACACGGAGGATCCTGGCTCCCTGTTGACCTATCACCACTCTCTGCAGAGTCCACTGCCTGTGCATCTGTGATTGCATCGAGCCCAAGGAGCTCCCCCTCTGTTTCCATGCAGGGAAGGAGCTTCTGTACCTCCCACTCATTCACCAGCCAAAGTGCACCTCTGTGGAAGGCTTCTCCAGGAGAACAGTGCTCAAGTGCAGGAATTGACCCTGATGGACTACCATGTGGTCCAAATACTTTGCTCTGACATTCAAAGAGGAAGGAGGAATAACCCCAGAGGTAAAAAGCTGTTGGTTCAACAATTTCCAAACCCCGTACCAGCTTCTATATAAAAGGCAGAAGACATGAAAGCTACATTGGACAGTAATGTATTCTGCAGAAGTCAGTCCACCTTCTGGTGTGCAGGAGTACTGGTGGATGTGAGGAGACCCTGGGGGTCCACAGGCTAGAGAGGATTCTGAGCTTCATAAGAAGTCAGGCATCCCTTAGCATTATACACAGCAATGTGCCTTTCCAGGATACCGTGCTGGATAGAGCGAGAGCTGGTTTAAAGTAGAAGCCATTCTTAAACCACTCACATACGGAATGTCTCTTTGGTGTCAAGATGCCAAATGAAAGAAACTGAGTTTCCTATTATTTTTCTCCTTCTTATCCTTTTGCCTCTTTAGAATTCATGAATTTGCTAAAGTCATTTTTAGTTGCCTTTTATGGTACAGAAAGAAGGGTTCTGCAGAATTCTAAATATCATGTGTATGCGGGAATAAAAGATATAAAATAGACAAAGGTGTCTTCCCCAAGCAGCACCGTGAGTTCTTTTACAAAGTGTCTGCTTACTGGCCTCAATGTGCCAGTTCCGGCACATCCACTTGTCAGCTCGCAATTGTGCAACACTTTTAAAAAATCTTTAGTTTCAAATTTCATCTCAGTACCTAACTGCTTCGTCTGCTTGTTTAAATTCTTTCCCCAAGATGAGTGTCATCCTGGATTGTGAAATGTTCACAAAGACAATTGCCCTGAATAATTCCTGTCCTCCTCTGTTTCAGGCTGCCGCTCTTGACTTCTTTAAACCCGTTCGCTGCCTCTTTCTTCTACTGTTCTCACAGTGCACAAGCTTTTCAACTTTCTCAGATCAGCTTACATGAAAGTTCAGCACTAGGAACATTATCTATTAGACCATCTTGCAACGTGAAGTTGCCTCTTTCAAACATCCTGTGATGTGCGATGCAGAGGTAAAAGCCTGCTCTTTCTGCACCATGAATGAGGCTTCTTGCCTTCTCTCGGGACAGCCAAGGCCAGTTTCCAGGAGTTTCCTTCTAACTGGAAAAAGCTACAATCGATAGCATCTTGCTATTCCCTTGGCAACTATGCAAAGAGCCATCTCTGCCATTCAAGTGCTGTATATCAGCAGACCAGACCTTTGAATTAAGCAGTCATTCAGACACGATGCATCATTCTCGCTGTGTTAGACTTGACTTGATCTGTCATTTATTTTCACAGATAGAGGCAATGCTGGTACACTATGCTAATTCCTCTCTCTGAAACTCAGAATGGGAGTTAAGAAAATTGTGACAACACACAAAGAACTGCATTATCCTTTCAAGGTTTGCCATATGTTTTCTGAATTCTCAATAGTTGAGGCAGGATTACAAAGATAAATTTAAAATGCATTGCAATAAACGTGATTTTAGTTCCATATCCCACATGAGCAAACTGAATATCTTAGTGCCCCAACCATGGAAATTTGATTCAAGTCAGAGTGGAATCAGAGGTATTTCAGAGCTAGCAAACTTGTTTTTTTCTTTTTCCCCATGGCCTACGTGAATATGACAATCAGAAAATCTTGTCTTTTTATTTATTTTGTTTTTTAAAATATGTATTTGTAGGTGATATATGTCTGCACACATAAATATCTACCTTTTCTGGTTCATGTGATGCATAAATGACATTTTAAGTATACTCATGAATCTATCTTTTTTGGTTTGTTTAAATTACTATTTTAGTTTTATGGAGTACCGTGAGAGAAATAATAGTCAAAATAAAAGCTACATTTTCTATAATATTCTTCCTTAAAACATCTTAGGATTCCTGATTCTAAAAAAAGAACAGCAATGTAATTTTGTTTAGTCACAAAGGACTTTTTTTCCTTCTTTGTCCGTATTACAAGTTGAATCTAGGGCTTGAGGAATGCCAGGCAAGTGATCTACCATGAGCTACATGCTCAGCCCTGTTTTGTTTAGTCATAAAGATCAGACTGAGCATTTAGAATAATGAGAAGAGGACCATAGATGTCATCTCATGTAAAAAGAATGGCGGGGAAACCCTCAGTTACTTTTAGCGTATGTGTCAGTGTGACCTGGACATCGCACAGCGACATACGCTTTGGGCGTTAGAAAGTGGCCAGAGAGTGAGAGAAAAAGTGATGAGGGTGGACAGTTCCAGCAGAAATAGTAAGTATTCAGAGCCAGGGAGAGAATGCCTTTTACAGACCAAAAGCAAAAGCAATCAAATCTGAAAATTAACAGTGAAAGTCAAAGGCTTTCCCAACAGGTCCAAGCTGAGGCTGAGAGCAAAGAGAACCCAGGAGAGCAGTCCGGAGGTTGAGAGCAGAACCCACATTGTGCGGCTTAGCCTGCAAGTAGCTCAAAAATACCATCATCCCCTCTGTTCACAGCACAGACTCAGCATAGTCTCGCCTGTGATTTGTATCTAAAACAAAACACTGGAGATGCCGGGACACAAGAGTGCCTCAGAGGATTCTGGAATAGACCTCAGAAAGCACAGAATGACAAACGCATTTTAAAGTAACAGCACTGCTTTGTTTGTTTGTTTTGTTTTGTTTTGTTTTGGTTTTGTTTTGTTTTTAAATTTTATTTAAAAGGAAAAAGAGAAAAAACAAAACAAAACAAAGCAGTGTAAGGGTACAAGTAATACAGAACTACAAAAAAAAAAAAAAAAAAAAACAGTAAGAAATCACCAGTTAATAGATTACACATTATCATCTTAGAGATAGTTGCTCAAGTCCCAGTATCAAAGCATACAAAATGGACATTCAAACAGTGAGACTGTAAACAGTTGTGTTCAATGATCCAACTGAAAACATTAATATGCTCAGCTATTTAACACCCCTAAACACACTTGCTGTTGTATCTTTTAGAGCATTTTTTTTTCCTTCTCTTTTTTACAACAAAATTCACACATTTTGGGTTTTATTACTCCTTAGTTCTTATTACTTTTTTAGGGGGGAGAGAATAAAGTCAAATATGGCAAAACAAAGCTGTCAGTCAAAACCAAGGATAGACACAGCACATGATGTAAAACAGAGGACAAGGTTATCAACAATGGTTGGAAGTAAAGATCCTTAGGATTCTAGATTGCACGGATTTAGAGATGGGAACTTTTGTGAATCAGACTCCCTGAGAGAAGAAAAATGTCTTTTATCTACCCCTATCTATGTTTTTCTCTTTTCTATTTTCAATAGTTTAAAAAGGCAGTAAGGGTGAAATGACATGATATGTAATGTTTACTTTTAAAATTCTCTAGCAAAACAAGAGGAGATTGGAAAATGGATAGGTCAAATATGGCAGGATGCTGCTGGTTTTCAAAGTTCAGCTAGTGGCACATAGAAAAATTTGTAGTAAAAAATGTCAAAATGCTTTGACTTTGAAGGTGTTCGGGAATACATAAGGAAAGAAGCAAAATAAGTATGCTTATAGGTGATGTTTTAAGGAATGAGACATTAGCATTTTTATCCTAGGGCTAAAATCATTACTGTCTATTGAAACACATCACCATATCCTGTCGTATTTGAGTAAGATAATTCCACAATAATATTTTAATAAAAGTTGGTACTTAGGTTATTTGTTGGCTCCATCTTAAAGCTGATATAGAATAAGATGAGACAAGATATATAAACTATAAGCAGATGTTACCTTATTGTCTGCCAATATCAATTTCTCTGTGTCTCTCTGTGTGTCTCTCTCTCTCTCTCTCTTCCTCTCTCTCTCTCTCTCTCCTCTCTCTCTCTCTCTCTCTCTCTCTCTCTCTCTCTCTCTCTGTCTCTCTCTCTCTCTCTCTGTCTCTCTCTCTCTCTCTCTCTCTTTAACTCTAGCTCTCACTCGTGCTCTCTCTCCCCAGATTGGAGTACTAATGTGCAGATATCCAGGCAACTTTCTTGTTAAATAAAATAACTTTTGCAATGATACTATGATTAGTAACATTTAGACAATAATTCATATTTTCAAAATGCTTACTGCAGTCAATTCAACCCGAACATGCGTGAAGCATATGGTCCAATTTGTCATAGTTTTACAAAGTACTGCAGCACTACAGGACACATCATCAGTATAAAGAAAAGGAGAAAGAGTGAAAAAGAATCACTACTCAACCATGTTCGGGGAAGATTCTAATTACCACATCCAAAATTACTATGTAGTAATTATGAATATGTTAAGAAAATGTAATCTGAATATTTTAAGAATATCTAATCTGTTAAGAAAAATAATTAAGATGGTTAAAAACAATCAATTCACTTTCTGATATAAGAAATAATCTTATTAGGTGAAGTTAAATAGCCAAAGACATTTAAAACTCTAAGATGCAGATGCCACATAACTGCAAAATGACAAGCAAATGTCCAGGGCAGTTTCTCAAATTCACATAAGCTTATTTCTTCAAGACATCAAGCTATGCATGGGCACAACCTACCTTTCCAGATAGCAGTTCTGCTTATAATTCAGTAGGCAAATAACACCATATCACTGTAGCATTAATACAAAAAGCAAATAAAGAAAATACTTAAAGAAAAGATTGTACTTCAATCTGAGCTCAGATTCCCCAGGTATGTCTTTACATTCTCTGTGGTCATCCTAGTCCATATGGAAATGTGAGCCACCAACCAGCTTCTGGAAAAGGCTCAATGCATAAAATTTACTCTCCTTTTTGAAAATATGAAATACATTTTTTTCTAGTCTTCCCAATGATCAGATCCCAAGACTTACTCTCCCCAAATGAACTGAAAGGGAGCCTGAGAGCAACACCAACATGATCATTTTCATTAACAGTGAAAACTGGAACTGTCACAAAGTTTAGAAACTCACATGTGATTACAATCACATGAGCATGAGCTCACAGCTGAATGTTCCCTGGAAACCTCTGTGTTGATTTTGCATGAGAAATAACTATCAAAAGGGACAGGAAAACATGAAACCCACATCACCAGCGTATTCTCTTCATGTGAGCAGATTATATAGAAGTCAAAAAGTTATTTCACGCACACAGAAAGAATACAGATGAAGAGAATACTTAATGGTATTAATATCCAAAGGGTATGGTTTGCCAGGAAAAAAACAAGACTTGAAGTCTGTTGGCTCTCGCTTCTCTCCATCAGCTCCATCTCGATGACAGCACCGCCCCTGAGGATGGAAATATTTCCAGTAGCATTTGAATGGCATTTACTTCACAGTCACCTTTTTCTGATTTTGCACTACTGAACATTACTCTTTCCTAAACTAAGAAGTCAGTGGACCATTGTGGAGTTTTTCTATCTCCACTCCCTCAGGTGACCTTACATAACTACAGGCTCACCTATCATCTCGATTCATTTTTTCCAGTCTGTAACTAGGAATGGACCAGGCTGTCGTCACTAAAGATGAGAGGTCAGCACCTTGGACACAGTGCTTATTCTCATGCAGTTCAGAGACAAGAGAGCTCCAATGAGTGTGAGCGATTTTCATCACTCGCAGCATGCTGACTAAATCCTCATTAATGTGCATAATGACCTCTGATGACACCACATCTCCACGGCCTCGGCGTGGCAGGCCATGACTGAACTGGGATGTCCTGTTCTTCTGCATTCCCAGCCTGTGCACCCCAACGAAGAGCAAAGCCGTGATTCACCCTTTACAAGAGTCAGCTATCTAAGTGCACAGAAATGAGCAAGCCAAACTACAAAAACTTCCAAATTAAAAATTGAGATAATTCATAGAATGCTAAATATTCATTACCTTTCCTCGATTTTTCATTCTATAGACATGAAATGAGCTCACTTCGCTACCTGTAAAGCACACTGTGCAGTGCTATGTGAATACATCATAAATAAGAAGTGACTTTGCATTTTTTTTCTGTTATTTTATTTTATTATTACTTGTGTGCAGGATGTGCAGTTTGGCCTTGCATTTCTGTTCCTCGAAAATTAGTACACATAGATATACTGAATTCCCAAATGCTCCTTTTGGCTCAGATTATAGCTCCAGTATTTACTGGACATGTTAGAATCAGGTGAGTTATTTTAATTTTTCTTTGTTTTCTCAGCAGTAAAGTGAAAATGATAGTCTCTATATTGTAGAGTTTGTGAGGCATTAACGGCTGTAACTCATGTAAAGCCTTTATCTCAATTTCTAGCTCATGGCAAGTAATTAATAGAAGTCACTTGTTAGCACTGGCAGAGATGGCAGCACTGATAATAACGGCAGCACTCGTAGCAACTCTGGTATCCAAATTAATAGCAAGTAGTTACTGGAATGTTGTTTTTGAGGAGCTTCTGGCCATCTTTCAAAGTCAACACAATTCAAAATTGTCCATAAATTCACATATGCTGTAGTTATTAATAATTAACATTTAAAAGACCTTGTATCTAAAACAGAAACTATATTGAGATCCCTTCCATGCCAAAAGAAAAGCAAGCAAATAGTCTCTCACGAGGAAAACTGTTTCTTGCTTCCTTAAAACATCCAATTCAAGCTGGATGCAGTAATGCAGCCCTGTCACCCCGCACTCAGGAAGCTGAAATAGAAGGACTGAAAGCTCAGAACAGTCTGAACAACATGACTAGTTCAGATCCAGTCTGGAGGAAGCTCACTGAGCAGCTTCATTTCCAGCACTCTGAATGCTTGGAACTGAGTATTCCGGGCCCCTGAGAGCCCAGGGAGGCAGCCCCGCCCCGGTGTAACCCTGAGCACTATGGACCGGCCTTTGAGGGCCCACCTCCCCTCCGGGCAGGAGAGGCTGTTACCAAAAAGGAAAAGGAAAAGAAAGAGAAGAAGGAAGGAAAGAAGGAACGAATGAACAAACAAATGAAAGAAAGATGGAAGCCAACAGGGAGGAGAGGAACTAGGGAAGGAAAGAGGGTTGATCCAGTTTTCCACAAAATGTTCTAGATAGAAGTTGCAAGCTAAAAGTAACAAAAAAAAAAACCAACTGAATATGGGAAAATAAATTGCTCTCACTAGAGCCAGACTCACCCACAACATTCAGGATGAGCAAATGGGAGTAAAGAGTTCACATCCTTATCTGAGCTATGCTTCAGTTAAATTAAGTAGAGAAAGATAATCATCCCCCATGTTTCAAATATTCTTTTCTCTCCCTTGTTGTCCTCCCTCCCTTCTCTACATTGAAAATGAACTGTAAAATCGCTTACAGAATTTAAAAGACTGGTTTTGAATTTCCCAGTTCATTCAAATATTTTCTCCGGCATTAGGAAGTACGACTTGCAACCCAGTGACAAAATACCAGTGATATAGCTGGAAAGCTTGGCTGCAGAGACCTAAGCTGTACACTGAGACTGTACTCTTGGTTAGTTTCTTAATAAGATAGCATAGGTGGAAAGAGATTTAATTTCAGAGAACACAGTAGAGGTAAAATAGAACAAAAATGTTAACCACCTCTTGGTGCAGCTGGAGCTGGTCTCAATGTCCTCTAGTAATCCAAGGCCTTCTGGCAATCTCCAGTCAGTTCTCCTCCCTAAAACAACTACACACCAACATGAAAAAACAGATAATACTTTATAACTCTTCTCCTCCTGTGCAAAGTGGGCACGAATAACCTTACTGTGTGACCCATGATCAGTTCTAAGCACTGAGAAAACTGAATTTACCCAGAGGCTGCATTGAGCATAAGTGCCTTCTAATTTTCTCTTCACAGCAATGGAACTGATTCCTGCCTTATATGACCTAACACTCCCCTCCAGAGCCTGCAGCTGGGCATCTTCTCTTTTATGGATTAACAGAACACAAAAAACACACTCCCAGTAACCGTCAATAAGCACTGTGTGATATTTTGGTATTGCAGTGAAATGCACATAACATAAAAGTTCCCATCTTAACCAGCTGTGTACCCATTCGGCACTGTTAAGTTTGTCCACACTGCTGTGCAGCCATCTCAGCGATCTCCAGATTTTACTGAA